ACTCTACCTTCTGAAAGCCAGGAAGAGACAGTTTAGGGCACAATCATTTCTAGGACTTCTGATAACAGAACTGTGAGCAAATACATTTCTGTTATTTAAGCCATCCATTCCATGACATTTGGTTATGTCAGCCAGCCTAAGCTGATTAACACATGGGCCTTTGGAAATGTTAAAGGGCTGGTATCTAGAAACAATTATATTTTGACTGGTAAAGAAAATTTATAGTACATATTATAGTTAGCTTCCATTGTCAACTTGATACATCAGGGAAGAGGAAACCTCGATTTAGGAATTTCCTTCATCACCTTGGCCCTTGGGCATGTCTATGGGGCATTTTCTCGATAGCAAAGTGGCATATGAGGGTCCAGTTCACTATGGGCAGTGCTGTCTCTGGACAGGTAGACATGGGATGCTTAAGAAATCTTACACAGAGACCCACGTCTGGCGAAGAATAAGAGACTGCCTATATCACACCTCTGCCTCCAAAGGCTCAGGGATCATTCTGGAAGAGAGGGCAAAAAGTCTGTAAGAGTCAGAGGTGGTAGATGATCACAGGGAAAGTTTGTCAGACAGATAATGCTAAATGTCATTGCTAATCATTTGGTTCTAACTAGAATGGTGAAAGAAAGGGGGATATTAGATGGAAAAGAAATCTTCAGTTTGCCTCCAACCTTTCATGTTTATCTTTCCTAATCTCTTGTAGTGAGTAGCATTTGGGACTGGAGAGAGATAGATGAGTGGTTAAGGGCAGTTGCTGCTCTTGCAAAGGACTCAGGCTCACTGCCCAGCACCTACATGGTAGCTCACTACTATCTATACCTCTGGTTTCTGGAGAAATTCAATGGCTTCTTCTGCTCTCCATGGGCAATGCATACCTGTGGTGCACTTCCATACATGTAGATAAAACACTCACACATAAAAATAAAATCTTTAAAAATGAGTTACATTTGGCTAGTCAAGGTAACTCTGTTTCCACCCATGTCATGATGCTGAAGGCTGGCCTAACTAAGTAAATCCCATTTCTTGGATCTCTGGCTTCCTAAGAGCTTTGGCCAATGTCAAGGCCCAGCAACATGTCAGTAGGGGAATTTGTCTCCTTGATTCCTCTGATTTCTTCCCTAAAAGGCTGATATGAATTACATACAGCTTTCAACCAAAGTCCAGTGTTCCTCTCAAGAAGGCTCACTCCTCTCACTGGGTTTCTAGTTATTGATCCTTCTAGAAGCAGAAGCAGAGTTAAACTTGTAAGATTTCAAACCCTACCCTCCTTTGAATTCTCTAGTGGTTTCCCCTGTTCATGCTCAACTTTGAAAACAGTCTTTTTGAACATATTACCTATTCAAACTGTCCTATTTTCAGTGTGCCATTTGCTTCCTGTTGGGATCTGGATCAATACATACCTTACTCATGCAGCACTCTCAGGTTAGGATGCCTTTCTTCCCGATATCTCTGGTTAACTTCTAAACATGATACCGAGTATGCTCAAATGTCACCCCAATAGCACTTTCTCTTGAAAACACACACAAACACACACACACACACACACACACACACACTCACTCACCATATATATTATAATACAGTCCAAGAACTGACAAATAAATATAGCATGTTACAAAAAATAAACACTTAATAATAATGATAGACTACTACTTTCTTTTATTTAGATATAATGCTATTAAAGATACACATTTTTAAACAGTGAACAAAATGGCTTTAAATAAATATATATTATCATCTTTCAGGAAAATGGTCTTCCTTATATCTTTAAAACCTCGAATGTCTAATTTACATTATCTAATCATTTTATTTCATATATTGTTTGAAA